GTGGGAGCAGATTCCTCCTCTGTTTCCTGGATCACCGACTACCTGACAGAAAGCCCATAGTTATCAGGTTGGGTGGGACACTAATGAGCAGCACATGGGCTTTCCCGGCTCCATTTCTTTTCACACTGTATACTTCAAATACAACTCTGAGTCCTGTCACATCTAGAAATACTTGGACGACCGTGCCACTGTGGCATGTATCAGAAATGAAACCAAGTCTGTCCATTGTAAAAGCCTTCATTGACTGGAGTTACAAAAATGGTTCATATTAAACACCTCTAAGATGAAGGAAATGATAGTAGATTCAGAGGTTTGTGGTTTAGACATAGAGGTTGTAACAAAATATAAATATCGAGGTTTTCACCTGAATAACAAACTAGACTGGTCCCTCTATACAGACAAACTATTACAAGAAGTAGCAAAGTCCCCTCTTTTTGTTAAGAAAACTAAGAATATGCTGAGATCTGCAGTAAAATGCTACAGATGTTCTATCAGTCTGCGGTGGCAAGTGTGCTTTTCTATGTTGCAGTGTGCTGGGGGGGCATTAGAAACACGGATGCAGGCAGACTGGTGAGGAAAGCTGGCTTTGTAATTGGAACCAGACTGGACATGCTGGGAGACATGGTGGAAAGATGCACACCAAAGATGTTAGAGCCAGTAACTCTGATCAGCCACTTTAGCTTTATGGAACAAAAACAGCAGTACTGGAGGATTCTTGTCTCTTTATTGGAAAACAGAGAAATACAGAGAATCACCCCCAACCATCGAGCTTTTTAATTCTCATACAAATAGCAGATTAGCTCTGTCAGACTTTTCCAATAAAATGATTCTTATTCTTATTATCGTCATAAGCCTTTCCAGTATGGCTCCGTCTTCAGCCTCGCTGGGACTGCTCTCGTATCGTTCACTCACTGAGCGCACACCTTGGATAGTTTAGTGGCAGACATCTTTGTTCTCCTGACTTTTAACTGTCTGGTTTACCTGTTCAGGTATTCATAAAATTACATAAATATAAAATAAAATCCAACTAATAACAACACTTTTTTCACATTTTAAACTATTAATTGTATTTCAATTTGTGTAAGCATGTAAACATGCAAATACATTTAATTTAATATTAAAATAATCAATAAAAATACAAAACACTTGATGGAGTTTAAAGTTGATAGAATTGCATTAAAACTTAATTTGCCTTCCTGGAAACACATTTTTTTCTGTATTTTAATTATGAAAAATTTCAGTATTTGTACATGATGGTAAATTCCATTATTTCAGCTACCAGAATATTCAGTAGGTTTGTTCTTGTTGTTTTGATAGTGGCCATTCTGGAGGCTAATAACAGATTGTTGATTTTTGTTGTTGTTGATGTTTATGAAAATCATTTCTCTATAGTGGTGCTTCCTCTTTAAAAGTCCAGTGAATCCGTTGATTGGTATCAGCTGCATTAGTCACAGAATTCCAGGTTCACTGAACACGTGGTTAAATATGTTAAATTACGCCACATGTAGAGCTGCGTTTGAGTGTTGTCATCGTGAGCGCTGCTCTTAGAGACGCTCAGAAATACTTCCGAGCGTGGACAAGACTTCTTTTAAAATGGGCCGGTGAAGTGAAATCTTCCACAGAAAGCACAGATGCATTTCTTTTCTATTCAAGTAAATATTCGAGCTTATGTGACAGATTTATGTATTTCTGTGTCAAAGAAACTTCAGTGTAAACTAAACTGAAAATGATTAAATTCAATTTAAACTAAACTATTGTTCATTTTTCTGGTTGAATTTTAAAGCTATAAGTGCAGCTGTTCCCTACAAACAATGTGCAGGTAAATAATAACCAGAGTTGTGCAGTCAGGAAGAGATGGAGGGTGTTTGTAGACAGAGCCAATGGGAGTTCAGTGTTTGCGTGTGTTTGCACATCAGTGCGTGTCTGAGTGTGTGTGTGTGTGTGTGTGTGGGGGGGGGGGGTTCGCCTCTCCTCTCTGCAGTGGACCTGTCGCACACAATACTTAGCACCAGATCAACCCCTCCCATCCCCGCACCCCCTCCCGCCTCTTCCCTATACTCTGTGTGGGATCAAGTCTCACTCGTCCACAGCCTTCATGTCTGACAGTACCGAGGATAGAAGAAGAGGAGGAAGACAGAGAGTGACGGCAGACACATTCTTCTGAGGTTTGGACGCACCCGGGGAAGTTTTTGTCCATGTCACCAGCAGACCTGACGCCAGGACAGCCATCAGCCTGCAGCAGAGCTCTTTGCCCTTTCCACGGATTAATTTAACTAGCCTGGGATTCCATGTAAGTGAAACTGCCCAACTTTTCCCGCGCCCCTTCAGTAATTTTGTCTTTTTATTTTTCAGCTTTTCTTGGTGTGTTTGAAATCCAAGTAGATTTTTTTCCCTGTGCATTAAAGTTCGCAAGACGACCAAAGTAAAAATTGAGAGGCTTCGTTAACGTTCTTCTGTGGGACGATTTGCACTTTTCCAAAATACACACGTTGTTTGTTCTTGGACAGAGTCAGAAGAATAAACCGTGAATAGCGCTTGGAACGCAAATAAAATCCCGTCTGCGTTCCTCACGAGCAGATCACTGTGCTGATGAAAAGCGACCGTTTGATGCTTCAGTTAAATCACAGTGAATGTTAACTTTATACAGGCCAACCTCACATAGACAACACGGCCGGCGTGACGTGCTTCGAGTAAATCCGACAATTCGCACTTGGTACAAGAGAGCGGTGCTGTTTCCTGCAGCGCTTCTCCGTGGGTACGTGTTCGAGGCCTGTTTTTCTTTTACCTCTATTTTTGTAATGACCAGAAAGATGATCATATCGAAACGTGTTCAAACGACGGCGTGACAATATTTGAAAATGTGAAAAATATTTGTGAATGTGAGGAAAACTGATGGGAGGCTGCAGAGGCCCGAGGAAACCCCACGAACCCGCGGACATACACGCGCGCGGATACTCACAAGCTTCACTCTGTATAATCACACTGAAGGGAATCTTCAAGGAAACAGCAGCAACAACAACAATAATAATAATGCTATTATTATTATTGTTATTATTATTATTATTATTATTATTATTATTATTATTCCACAAAATAATTTTGTTTCATTCCTTTAAAATAACAAAAAAGGGAAAGAGCGTGAAACTGTCACTACAGAATAAACAGATCAAAATGTTCGATCACTATAAGCTCGCGCTGTTTATATTATTATTATTATTATTATTATTATTATT